GAAAAAAAAAATTTAGCCAGGTATGGTGGTGTCTCCCCATAGTTCCAGCTACTTGGAAGGCTGAAGCAGAAGGATCATCTGAATCCAGCAGGTTGGGGCTGTGGTGGCCGTGAGTGTACTACTGCACTCCAGGCTGGGTGACAGAGTGAGACTCCAACACCATATATATATATTGGTTTTAGTTCCCTGTTTCCTGACACTAGTGCTTCTAAGATGCTTGGAATTGCCGGGGTTGGTGGCTCAGCCTGTAATCCTAGTGTTTTGGGAGGCCGAGGTGAGTGGATTGCCTGAGCCTGTGGGTTCGAGACAATTTGGTGAGCCCTCATCTCTACAACAAATCAAAAAATCAGCCGGGCGTGGTAGCGCGCGCCTGTAGTTCCTACTACTTGGAAGGCTGAGGCAGAAGGATTGCTGGAGCCCAGCAGCTCAAGGCTGCGGTGGCCAGGAGCATGCCACTGTACTCCAGTCTGGGTGACAGAGTGAGACTCCAACTCAAAAAAAAAAAAAAGACCCTTGGAATCTCCAGAGTGAATCTTTATATGCTAGTGAGGTGACTGGTCACTAGGGTTCCTAGGCAGCTTCAGGATGGGGGTTGGTCATCAGAAAGTTAATCACCAATGGCCAATGATTTAATCAACCATGCCTATGCAACAGAACCTCCAAAAACTCTGGAGGACAGAGTTTGGAGAGATTCCATGAAGCTCTATGGCGACAGTAGCTCCTATGCTCGAGGCCCTTCCAGACCTTATCCTGTATATCTCCAGCTGTTCATCTGTATTCTTTCTAATAAACTGGTAAACACGCCAAGTGTCTCTCTGAGTTCTGTGAGCCATTATGGCAAATTATTGAACTTGAGGAGAAGGCTATGGAAACTCCTGATTTGTAGCCAAGTCAGACAGAAGCGTGGGTCACCTGAAGACCCAGTATTCATGACTGGCATCTCAAGTGGGGGCAGTTCTGTGGGACTGAGGCTTGAACCTATGGGGTCCGTGCCAACTTGGAGTAGTACAAACTCTGGGTAGAGTCAGAAATGAATTAAATTGTAGGTCACCCAGGTGGTGTCCACAGAGAATTTCTTTGGTCTAGGAAGCCCACACATTTGGTGAAGTGTTGAACAAGAAATAGTTTTCCTTTAACCACAAATTTCTGAAGGTCCCACAACTGACTGCCTAAGAACACACACACACACACACACACACACACACACACACACACACACACACACATGCTTCAATTTAACTTAAATGATTAGTACACCAAGATTTTGAACACTGCCACGCACCCATGATGAGCTCGTCCTCTGAATGCTAGGAATGCAGGATTGAAAAGTATATCCTTGGTCCTAGAGGATTCTAGAAGCCAAGTCAGTCCACAGGTAACCGCATGGCAGAACGTGGGAAGTGGCACAGGAGAACAGAGTTCTGTGAGTATTCAGAGGGAGAAATCCCTTTCAGCTGGAGACAATGGAGAACGATGCCATGGAGGGAAGAAAGGAGGAACTGATCTCTGAGTCTCACATTGGTGATATTGTCCCAGGAACCCCCTGAGACAGGCAGAATACCCCTTTTACAGAGGAAGAAACTGAAGCAAAGAGAGATGAAGGTGACCTGCTCAAGGTCACACAATTAGTGGGGGAGCCATGTGAATTGCTTTGATAGACCCCAAAGCCCATGTTCTCTCCACTATATCCACAAACTTCAGATAATGCTCCATGGAGCCCTGGTGGGTGGGGCAAAGTTGGGGAAGGCCGGGTGGGTGGGGCTTGAGCTTCTGCCTCAAATTCAACCCCCAAGTTCTGTTTTCCACATACACAGTTTGGGGTTCTATGCGAGATTCCGTTTGAAAAAAACTGCAGCTCCCCACGCCATGGCTGAGCCCCCAAGGTACAGCATGCTCCCTGCCAAGCACATGGTTGAGCCTTGCAGTCTGAGAAGGGCAGGAAGGGCCACGCAACCCACGTGGAGGGCAAAGGAAGGACCAGGCTAAGCGGGACTTCGCTCATTCTGAAGTGAGGCTGCCTGCATTCGAAAGCAGGCTCTATATCTGCCTAGCTTCGGGACCTCGGGCAAAGCGCTGACTTCCTAAGCCTTAGCTTCTTCAACTTCAAAATGGGTAGAATGTTAGCAACTACTGTGTAGGGCTGTTGAGAGGATGACATGCCCAAAGACACAGAAAACACGTGGCACAGTGGTGGGCTCTCAGCACGCTGGCCTTCTTATTAACTTGCTGAAAATAGGCTAGCTCTACAAGGTAAAACAGCAAAAACAAACAAAACAAAAACAAAGGAATATTGTTGTGGTCTGAATGTGTGTGTCCCCCCAAATCCATATATCGAAATTCGTACTCCCAAGGTGACGGTATTAGGAGGCGATTAGGTCCTGAGGCTGGAGCCCTCATGCATGGGGTCAGTGCCCTTCTAAAAGGGACCCCAGAGAGCTCTCTTGCCCTCTTTCCAACACTCGAGGAGAAGCTGGCCATCTGCAGCCCGGAAGAGGGACCTTCCCAGAACCAACCATGCTGGAACTCTTCTCTGGGACTTCCAGCCCCCAGAACTGTGAGAAATAAATTTCTATTGTTTATAAGCCACCCAGTCTATGATATTCTGTTGCAACAGTCCAAACTGACTAAGACAATCATGAAGCTAGAGGAGGAATTCTTAGGGAAACTACAATGAACTTCCCCCAAGGAGTTGCACTGGTTCTGGGCTCTGCCTTGGGTTCTCTCCCGGTCTTGATAAATACGATCTTTGTATTATTGGGACACACACCTGAAAGATGTGAGGGAGTCTTAATTGCCGAGCTGTGGTTGCGTCCCCATTGCTGCTTAACAGCTGGTTCAGCAAGAAACTTAACGGAGACTGGGCATCCAGAGACAAAGTCAATAGCCTCAAACCTCCAAGCTAATTTACTGCCACTGCTCAGAGCAGGTGGCCACAAAGTCATAGGCTGTCCCCTAAGCTGACACTCAGCTCTTCCTCCGAAAGCCCAAGGGTAGAGGGAGGCATACGTATCAGTCACAGCAAGCCCTAGAGGTTCCTGCTAGCTAGATGGGTATTGCCCATGGGCAGAATTCTGCAGGGGACAGTGGGGTCCCAGGTCTCAGGTCCCTGTCAGGATACTTCCATCAAAGATTGCCAGTGAATTAAGTTCCCAGGGAAAGTTTTGATGGGGTGCAATAGAAAGCAAACCCCGCGAGGGCAGGGGTTTTTGCTTGTTTTGTTTACTGCGGTATCCCAGTGCTTAGAACAGTAGCACCTCCCTGTGAATGGATGATGTGGTGCCTGCGCTCTCATGAGACACACAGAAGCAACAGGGCACAGAGCTTCTGCGGCTGCTCCCTGAGCGGCTGTCTGGGTGGGACCTCCTTGTCATGGCTCTGCTTCAGATTCCCCACCTGTCACCTCAGCTGGTGGCAACACCACTGGGCTCTGACAGTTCTTTGGAGAGGTTTGACCTTTTCCCTCTTCCAGGCAGAAGAGAGGGCTGTTTGCTACAGAGCACTGAGCAAGAACGTTGACTCGTGCCAAGCACACAACTTGCTTCTTTCGTGCTCACTCGGCCAGAAATGAAAACGTTAGAGCTAGACGTGCCTCCAGAAGTCACTTCCTCATGGTAGAGACAAGGACACCAAAGGCCTGAGACATCAAGCAAGTAGCCTGAGGCCACAGAGCTGTTTGCAGGGAGGGCAGAAGACCTGGCCTCTGACCAGAACTCTCTGAATAGCACCTACTTGGGTTCTTTCTTTGCCTTGTGCTGGTTAGAAAGTGTTGGACTAACTCACAAAATGCCCCATAAGCCCCATAAGCCTGAATCCTCCTTTTACACGTTAAACACAAAATACACCTACAGTGTACACACAGATTTTATATATATATACACGTAGGTATCATATACATATCTATACATATTCACAGATAACATTAGTGTGTATATAAACTATTCTACAGTCCCCAACACATTTGTTGAAGAGTTTAGATAAGCTCAACTCCCTCTATTTTATTCCAGAGTAATGATGACTGAGGAGTGGGGGAGAGGGAAAATGCGTGTAATTTGCAAACGCACATTCAATATTATGATCGCTTTGCTTTTTTTAGCCACAATGTTAGATACACTTTGAAACTTGACCAGTACTCAGAGGGCATTCTGATTTTATGTTCATCAAAAGGGGATATGGTTTAAATAAAATGATCGAGAGATACTGTTCTGGAATACAGCATATTACAGCTTTGGAAATCATTCAGTCCAACTCCCTGTTAAAGATAAGGAAACTTCCACCCAGAGAGGTTAAGTGACTTCTTGTCTAAGGTCAAAGAGCTGTTTGTTCACCCCTGAGGGGAGTGGCCATGCGGACTTTATCTGTTATGTCCACAGCAGCGGCAGGGTTTGTTGCTGACCACCTGAAGGACTGTCTTATATCAAGAATGTTAAGACACAGAGAGAAGGCAGTCCCCACCCACATCTGGATTTTTTTTTTAAATAAGGGAGATTCTTGGGGGAAAAAAAGGAAGAAAGATGTAGAACCTAAGCTTTTATCAATACACGATTTCTTCGGGGCAGCATCCCAATGACCTGAACACTGGGCTGCCCTTGGCTCCAGCCCCTCTTTGTAAAAATCCAGGGAGACTCCCTCCTAGTCCTATTTCGGGGAGGAGAAAACATCAGGCTGCAGGATGGACTCCTCAAGTCACTGCTGTCCCCTCCCCTTGATAACCTGCAGAGACCACTGCAGGCTGGGTGGATGGTTTCAGTCTAGTACCATCTACTGAGACAAGTTGCAGGCTTTCTCTCATTTTTTTGAACAGGACGGAGCATTTCAGCAGAAGGACTACAGCTCCTAAAGCAGTTACCCTGCGAGCAGAGACAGCAGCCCCAGGAAGAATTTACCCGCAGCCCTGGGCTAAGACAGACACAGGGCCAGACTCTGTAGGGGAGCTCACTGGAGGCGACTGTCCCCAGAGCGGCAGCTGCCAATGCGCCCGCCGGGTGCAGGAGTCCACTTACCGCAGTGCGACTGGAAAACCTGTGGCTTGATGACCTGATTACAGGCACTGCACACTACGAGATAGAAGTCGTCATGTGCTGGATAATGGCCAAATAAGTGCATATCTGTGGGGGAAATGAAAACAGTGTTTTTTGAAAAAGCAATTAAGTCTCAGAAGGTGTAACGTTTCCTCTTGGAATTTCTTCAAGGACAGTTTTTCAAACAAGACACGCAGAAAGGCAATAATCTTTTCTAAGGGAACTCGGTGTGTCATAATGCAACTCCCCACCTCTCAGAGAAGCAACTGCCTCAGAGAATCCTTCCTCGTTTCATCTTCGAAAAGGGACTATGACTGCTATCGATTTAGCCAGTGATGTTGAGGGACTGCCCTGAGTCACATGCCACAGGAACTACCCCGTCCCAAGAGAGTGTCCATGTGTTAGCGGGGACCCACTGAGGCTCTATTTAATTCAGGATTGGGGGGGACCCTCCCAAACCCATACCCACTCCTTGTTTTTTTGGTGTTTGTTTGTTTGTTTTGAGACAGGGTCTTGCTCTGTTGCCCAGGCTGGAGTACAATGGCACGATCATGGCTCAACATAGCCTCGACCTCATGGGCTCAGGCGATCCTCTTGCTTCAGCCTCCCGAGTAGCTGGGACAACAAGCATGTGCCACCAAACCTGTCTGGTTTTTAAAAAAATTTTTGTAGAGAAGAGGTCTCACTATGTTGCCCAGGTTGGTCTTGAACCCTTGGGCTCAAGCAGTCCTCCTGCCTCAGCCTTCCAAAGTGCTGGGATTATAAGTGTGAGTCATCAGGCCCGGTCTCCATTCCTGTTTTAGCAGTGGTCCCTCAGGTGTGTGAGAGGGGCAGATGGGCTGGAGACAGAAAGAGGAGTTCTTGGCCTCAGTGGTTGCCTAGGTTTTCCCATCACCTGAGGGAGACACCAAGGCCAAAGTAATCCTCTGAACAAGTGGATGGTTTGCTGTTATGATTACCCATCGTTCCTTTGGTAAACATTTACTGAGCACCTAAGTGTGCCAGGCACTGTGCTAGCTGCTAGGAAAACTGGGAACAAGAATGAGCTTCCTGCTCTCCTGGAGCTTATGCCAACGAACATTAGGGATCGTCACTCAAGTCATCACTGCTGGTAACTGTGGTAAGCGCTAAAGAGGAGACATAAGGGTTCCCCTGAATGTGGCAGGTGAACCTAACCTAATCTGAGACAGTGGAATAAGTTTCTCTGCAACCTGAGGCCCCAGGATGAGTAGGGGTTAGAGGAACAAAGGGCTAAGCAGGGGAAAGGCAGAAGTTTAAAGTTTAATCCAAGGCAGGAAGTTCTGCTCATCAGAGGAACCTCTGGGCATCTTGGCTGAGACAGAAGAATGGGGCGGCAAGAGGACTGAAGCTGGATACAGCCCCAAAGTTGTGGGTCTTGCAGACCCCGGGAAGGATTTTGATCATGATTTTAAGAACGATGGGAAGTACTGAAGGTTTTTAAGCAAACAGATGATGCGATCACTTATGTGGCATATACCTACAACACATGAACACATATGTCTACACAAAACTCTGCACACAGATGTTCACAGAAGCATTATTCAGAATAGCCAAAAAGTGGAAACAACCCAAAGGCCCACCAATGGATGAGTGAATAAACAAAATGTGCCATAGCTGTGCAATGGAATATTATTCATCCATAGCAGGGGATGAAGTACTGATTCGGGCTACAACACGGATGAATCTAGGAGACATCACGCGAAGTGAAAAAATCCAGATACAAAAGGCCACATACAGTATGACTCCACTGATATGAAATGTCCAGAAATAGGCACACCTATAGAGACAGAAAGCAGGCAGGTGCTTGTCTTGGGCAGGGGACCTGGAGGGATTCGGCGGGGGATTGCTAAAGGGTGTGGGGATTCTTTTTGGGTCAGTGAAAATGTCCTAAGATTGACAGTGATAATGGCTGCACAATTCTGGAAATATCCTGAAAAACCACTGAATTGTACGTGTTAAATGGGTGAATTGTATGGTATATGGATTATATTTCAATAAAGCTATCAGAAAAAAGGTCAGTTATGAGGAACCTATGGTCACATCTCCCTGTGTGCCACCAGGTGGAGGTAGGGCCTTGGGCACCTCCATCCTGCATCCTCTTAGCTGACTGACGCTAGGTGGGTCACTTAGGCTCACAGACGGGACAGCCATAACCAATGACATTGTTGGTGGAGGAATTCAGCTTCTTCTGGTGGAGAAGCCCTTTCAGCCCTCATTGGCTTGACTCAACCTGTGTTTTTACCAAAACCCTCTAACATGATGCTTTCCCCAGCTGAGATCCTAGGATAGAAGAAGAGCTGAGCTCCTTTGTATGTGAGGAAGGTTTGAAGAGAACCCAACCAATGCCTTAAGAAGGCCCCGCATGGTTCTGCAGTCCCTTCCGAGAGCAGCCCTGCTACTTCGAGGAAAATGAAATCAGCACATTTATCACACGGCAAGGGCTGGAGGAAGCCTGTGACTGGAAGACTGGGGTGAGGCCTAGCTGGGAAGACTCCTATAGTGGTGCCCTCCTCAGGTGCTCAAGGACACTGCTCGCTCCACAGGGGGTGACCAGCAGGGACGGGGGACACAGGCTCAACTGAGTTTCTTTTTTAAAAATTTAATTTAATCACCTGTTTATTTTGGAATATGACAGATCAAGTAGACAAATAATAAGTAAGAATATAGGTTATCTGAATAACCCAATTAACAAATTCTATTATGTTTTTTAATGTATTACAAAGATTTATGATCTTCTTATTCTCTTGATATTATGTATAGTCTCTTCTGAAGAGCACATGCCTGTAGAATGTTTACCAGAAGGAATCATCGACTGAATTTCTAATGGGTGTGACCTGTCAGGGACCCCTCTCCACGTCCACTGCTGACTGAGATTTGCACATGGCATCTGCTGGGAATCACTGGAGGGGAGTGTCATTAGTCAGCGCCTGATAGGTGGGGAGGCCCATGGGAAGAGAGGCTGAGAGAGAACTGAGCTGTGACAAGAGTCTGGAAATTTGTGGTGGCCCATGTAGGGTCCAGCCAACCTTGCCAGCCTCAGTTCAAGGGACCCTCCATGGGCAGTCGGGATCCTCAGTTCAGGGCCTCGAACAGGGGAGATGACCCCTCTTGGGCCTTCATTAATGGCTGAGATCACTCTTACTTTACTTTTTATCTATAGGTTGTTTGTTTTTATAACATATAACACATTTTTTAAATAACAAAAGGGATCCATGTTCTTTGAAAATACATTTGCAAACTACAGAAAAGCAAGGAAAAATTTAAAATAAAAAAGACACCTTTATTAACACTCTGCATCTCATTTAGATTTTTTTTTTTTTTTAGTTGATGTCTCACTCTGTCACCATACTGGAGGGCAGTGGCACAATCACAGCTTACCACAGCCTCGAACTACTGGGCTCAGGCCATACTTCTGCCTCAGCCTCTGGAGTAGCTGGGACTACGGGCATGAACCACCACGTCTGGCTAATTTTTCTATTTTTTTTTTTTTTTTTTTGAGTTGGAATCTCACTCTGTCGCCCAGACTGGAGTGCAGTGGCCGCTCCCGGCCACGACAGCCTCGACCTGCTTGGCTCCGGCGATCCTTCCGCCTCAGCCTTCCAAGAAGCTGGAACTACAGGCGCGCGCTACCACGCCCGGCTAATTTTTTTGATTTTATGTAGAGATGAAGTCTCGCCAAGTTGCCCAGGCAGGTCTCGAACCCGCAGGCTCAGGCAATTCACTCACCTCAGTCTCCCAAAGCGCTGGGATTACAGGCTGAGCCACCGAGTTTGGCTTAATTTTTCTATTTTTTGCAGAGACAAGATGTCATTATGTTGCCTAGCCTGGCCTTGAACTCCTGGGTTCAATAATCCTCTGGTCTTGGTCTCCCAAAGTGCTGGGATTATAGGCGTGAACCACCACACTCTGCCTCATTTAGATATAAAAATCACATTTTATATCTAGGAACATGTACAAAAACAGGTCGGCGAGATCTACGACTTATTTGTTTATTCAATAAGCATTTATTGAGCTGCCTTACATCCTTTCTGCAACAGGTCAAGCTATGAAGGAATAAAAGATAATCATCAATTAAAAAACTTAAAATTAAGACCAACCATTAACAAAAATGTCTTGAGCACTTAACTTGCGCCAGAAATTGCCGAGTGCTGGGAAGCTGAGACCAGACCCTGGAGGGCGTGGGGAATGGGTCTCTGCACCTCGTCGTACATGCTGGAAACCTGTCTGGGCCCGTCAAGCCGCCACTGATGCCCCATTCTTCTGTATTCCTCCACAGACCTGGAGAGTTCACCCCCCGCCTCTCCCACTCCTGCCTACACACACACCTGTTATGTCACTGAGTTGAAAGTAAAGGTCAGGCTAGTCAGACTGTGGACACCTGGGGCTCTGTTCCCTTCACAGCCCTTCAGTCGCTGGGACTTTCCTTAGTTTTCCTCCAGGGCAGTTTCAACCTTGTACATGTCTGCTCAGAGCATGTCTTCTGAGGAAAGCGAGAAGACCTGCTTGTCTGCTTGATTACTCCCCAGTGAGCCGACCTTAGAATCTCCTCCACAGGCTGTCCCGGCTCTGAGAGCCCAGCAGATGGGGAGCAAGTTAGGGCACTGGGCTCCCAAGAAACCCACTCCATCACGTGGTTGGGTGTTCACAGGCAGTGTAATGTTTGAGTAGAGTAATGAAGGAGGGAGGGAGAACAGGGAGAGCCGAACACGAATGCCAGGCATAATGTTGGGTACTCTGTTAATTAATCCTCTTAGTTTTTTGAGTTGGGGTTTCACTGTCACCCAGACTGGAAAGCAGTGGTACCATATGGTTCACTGCAGCCTCGACCTCCTAGGCTCAGACAATCCTTCCCTCTCAGCCTCCTGAGTAGCTGGGACCACAGGTGTGCGCTGCCACGCCCAGGCAATTTTTTATTTTATTGTAAAAATGGGATCTTGCTATGTTGCCTAGGCTGGTCTCAAACTCCTGGGCTCAAGCAATCCTCCTGCTTTGGCCTCTCAAAGTGCTGGGATTACAGACATAAGCCATCATGTACAACTCTCTTTAAATTTTAATTTATCCCCAAG